TATTTTCGCCACAGTCTTCTCTGATACTTGATTTTGGCTGTACTGTAGTTCTTCGGTTTCGTACGTTTTTTACTGAGCTGACCTTCGCCAGGTTAGATGAATAAAATTTCGGTTTTCGCCGATTGTACGCGCGCGGTTCGCTTTTTGCTTCGTCGTTTCCTCCATTTGCTTTCCGTATATTTCTTGTATCGGTGCTACTTCGATACCATGACATAAAGAATAAACATTGCCTAGTACCCTTATGATCAATAATGTAGGGCGGATTATCCAAATTCCAACGTAGATCTGGCTAGAGAGTTGCTGTAATTCCTACAGGTAAATTTTCTCTCTCTGTCTTTCTCGGCATCGTTCTTTTTCACGTCAAATGTATATGATAAAATACCCATGGACCTTTCTACATGGATGCTATGAAATCCTTTTCAGAACATCTAGTGAAATGGGAATGATGAACAATTTTTCGGATGGTATCACTTCAAATCAAAAGTATCCCAGACAAATGCATTCATAGAATGTATTACTGGTGAGACTATCATGAATCTTGTACAGTGTAAAATCAACTTCATTCAAAAGTTCAACACCGTGAGCTGGAATCATACTGTTGACGTCATGCTTATCGAGCGGATAATTTACCAGCTGAGATATCACAGAACGGACACGAACAACACATATGAATATACAATAACGCACAATCCACTATCCCAACGATACTCAACAACTGTCATGGATTTATTAACTCAGCTATCCTAATGAGGCGAACAGCACACGGCTGAATGTGATCCAATGAACATTGGATTATGTATTCATAGAATGTATCACTTGAAATTATCCTCCCCCACTTCTTCTCTTTCAAGTTGACCATAAAATTAGAGCTCTTGTTTTTGTTGAATAGGGCAGTGATAAAAAGTAATGAAATATAACTTCCACAACGCTTTTCTGTGAATGCACAGCTTAGTACGCGGTGTGGGGCTTCATGTTCAAAATGTGGATGTCACCGCGGGCTCTTTGATTGGCTGTGCTATGTGCTAGTTCGTCCTTGGAATTACTTTTTTCGGAACTATTTATTTTATTCGATCGCTCTTTGCATGTTGCGTGATCAAAATTACTCAAAGCGGTGTAAGCTATCGATAAAAGACATGCTTAGACAACAAAATGTGTGCCCAATATCCGAAGTCTAAAATCGGAACTATCACACAAAGAAAGCTAAGGGAGGTGGTTGGCAGGCTGCTCTTAAAAGGAAAGCGCCAAGCAGTATGACAGTTCCTAGAGTCATATGTAATAATGTGAGTTCTATTTCCAACAAGCTATCGGGTTTTACATACCAGCTCTTGGGTTGCAGCTTTAGAAATACATGTACTACATGTTTACAAGAAAATTGGATGAATGCCAACATGAATGAAGCTAGGGTTTAAATAGAAGTGTTCACCTGCTTCCGTCAGTACCGTATATATCGCAGGAAGAAAGAGGTGGCTAACTTCTCATCTATATCAATCCCAAGTGGTGTGACCAGCCCTCCGTAATATTTCCCTACTCCCTTGATGGCATATGTTGTTTAGCTGTATCATGTGGTCCTAGATTTTCTCATTTCACTCAAGTCATCATCAGCAACATCACTGTAGCACCACAATGCTCACAAACCTCAGTTAACATTTTCCACGATTCATTTGTACTTTCGTTTTGGCCATGCTTGATAAGAACCTTCACATTATGGTGATAGAATTTATTCACGCATCAACAACTCCCCTTTCATATTTCAACCTTCTCAGTATCTGTGATACTCCGACTGGTGGTAACTCCCAGTTAAACCACATCCTGACCAATCACCCAGAACTGTTCTCTGTCTGGGGGATGTGCTGATGCTCCCAGTGCCGTTTGGAAATTACTGAAATGCAGTAGTTGAAGGCATTCCGTTAAACAACATATGCAGCTTAAGAAATTTGAAACATTGGGTTCCAGTTATCCAATTCATGAGAACAGAGAAGATATAAGTCACGACTTATGTCTTCTCTCTGTTCTCATGATGTGCAGCTTAGATACTATATGAGTAAAAAAAGATAATATTCTACATACTATGAGATCGATCAAGTATTGTGAAAGTTCAATTCATTGGAAACCACAGAAACATTGTACAGTTGTTTTATCCTTGCTAGCAATCATCAACAATGCACATCTAACGAGCCCCAACTTGGACTCGAACTTGGGGTGATTCAAACACCTTAACCACGAGGCTGTTGGGGCTGGCTCTCAAAGGTTCATTGAACTTATGCAACACACGATATAGCACCTTGACTGATGATATATTGATTGACTGGCTCTCTTCAGATTCTACGGTTACGCCTTTCAGGTGAAAGAGTTCGAGTTCCAACCCAAGGCACGGTGGAGGATATGCACCAATTATGAGCTTTAATGAGAGCAAAACTCGCGTCTCGTGCCTCCGACTGCATAATTAGTAGGATGAATCGAGTGTTTGAGTGAATGATGGAGTCCGAAAAGCAATCAGTGAAGCGAAATAGTGGAATTCTTGCTCCAAGAAGCGTTGACTTAGCTCGCCACCCTACCTCCATCTTTTGTTCCTCTTCAGCATCATGTCTTGATGGTGGCTTTAAAATCGATCTTAACAGAAAGTCGTAGTTATTTCGTTTGGGTCAGGATTCCTCAGCACATATTGCACACGTATGGACATAAATTCTTGTATTCTTTGTGTGTGCGTGCGTGCGTGTGTGTGTGTGTGTGTATGTTTTATATTCAACATCTATGGAGCCGATGGGTGCAGATAAGAACAGTTTTCCACCCAGCTCGTTTACCCTCCTCGGTTCCAATGCGATTTGTTTTAACCACAAAGACTTGTGATTCACAAGGCACACTGACAGCATAATATTACCCGTGACAACCACAATAACCTGATGACCTTCAGTGTTTCTCCCGACAAACGAAACGGATGTTATTATATGCTTGTCACACAAGTTTCCTAAAGCTATACCAGCAACAACATCAATATCGAGTTGTGAGAAATATAAACTAGTGTACGAAGGAGGGAATAAGAGACTGCAGAGTCCTGAACAGTCAAAGTTTACGAGTCTGAAAAGAAAATCCACGCAATTTTCCAACAGGAATTTCTATATATGAAGATCAATACAAGTTCTCTTGTTAAGTTACACCTTAGTACTTCGCACTGCTCACATGTGCATGATGAGTAAATTTATTAGGGTTGCTGTCTTCTACAGAACACAATCGCAAAGTGAAGAACTGCACTCTTGACATTTGGCGTTGTTTAACAGAGAAACAAATTGTTCAGAAAAGTTCTAGATATGTGAAATATTTTCATGAAAGTTATCTAAATGGGATCACCAGAAGACAGACCGAGTCGAAGCAACTTCATCGGCAAACTTGGAAAGGTGAGTTGGGTGGGTTGCAGTGAGTTTGCTAATACAATCAGCAACTAAATATCGAGAAAGGACAGTTTCTTGGGGATCATTTGCACTGATTAGGAGATATCTGGAAACTTTCCTTCCAACTATGGGAGACTGAGCTCTACCTGAGAAACATTCTTTCGGTCAGTTGCTCAAATATGAGGGCAACCGAAAGATTCCAGTAATTTGGGAAGCAAAGATCGTGATACACTGCCAGACGCTGATGAGAGGCACACGTTACTGGTTTACGCGAATCGTCGAGGAAATTTGCAATGTAATGGACTATGCACTTTATTGCATCAATCTTCAAACACCGGGGTTTAAACGTAAATTGTTACTCGCCAGTGAAGGCTGTGTGACTGTGTTTTGAAAGTGCTGAAGTACAGCACGTTCAGCTAACTTTACAGTGGACGAGGAAAGTGCAATCGGGTAGAATGTCTTGGTTCCCGTTTGGTTGCTCGACCCTTCTGGTATGTGAATGATTGCGACTGGACGCGAACAGCCAGAAACGGAGAACGATTCGAAGGAATGATTGACAGTAGTAGTCATTAGTTCAGAAAGTGATCTAATCCCATGTTCGAGTATTGCCGAGAGTAGGCCATCCGATCCAGAAACCTTGAATAACATTTAAGATTTGAGGAGTTTGTGAACCACATTGGTGAAGAATTCTTTTAATTTCTGAAATTTTGGCCTTGTAGATTGTGTATTGACTTTCACGCCATCTATGGCATTCGCGGTCCGAACGTTTGCCATTTGAATTTCTTCTCAGCCCTACTATAGCATGCACCATCGTTGGTTCGGCACGCGTACCGATCCGTAGTCAGCTGACTCCACGGACGCGTACACACACGTACGGTCCTTTCGCGTTCTGGTTTGATCTTTCACTTTAAAAATACACGTAAGTGCAGTCGCACCATGTCGGCTTAGTCACTTGTGGTTGATGCGAAAAACTGCTTTCTGTTGGACGGCAATGCGTCTAATAAAGGACACTGCAGGGTTATCTCCATGACCTCTCTCTGAATACTTTCCATGGCGAAAAATTGGTTTTGTCTACATTTTTGACATAGGTATTCAACATATGCAAACAGACCACAATGTTTTTGTCCCGAAACCTCGCCACTAGTTGGTAGTTATGGTGCATATGAATTTACGTAGTCCTGCCCTAATGCTGTCGTGTGCGAGAACAAGATGTATTTATCGGAAACCAGCATACATCAGTACGACAGTTTCTATGGTACTGCACAAATATTTGCATGCAGAAAAATGGATTTTTGTTAACGAAATTCAATAGTGCAGGGCATGACATGTTTTTTACCTAAGGCATGAAGTAAAGACAACATAGCAGGGCGTGCACCACAGTCAGTGATATAACACAAGAATGGCTTGGGATCCTTTCGTCGTCGTAGAAACAGACTAATGTAGTGGATTGACATTACCACTGTTTGGAGATTCAGAACCAACCATTGCATCATCCGCGTACTTGAAAGGGAAGGATGAAGTAGTTAATAGGAGGTGATTCAACTAGCACGTGAAAAAAATGTACAGGACACATGACCACAGTATGTCTCATATTTGATGTATCTTTTTTCTCAGTGACTACTACCAATCTGTTAGTAGTTAAAATCTACATGTTGAACTTTTCTGCGGTTTTCCTATGTTATTTGGCCGAGAGTTAATCACTACTTGAATCAGTAGCTCTTCGGAAATGCTTTATATATATATATATATATATATATATATATATATATATATATATATATATATATATATATATATATATATATATATATATATATATATATATATATATATATATATATATATATATATATATATATATATATATATATATATATATATATATATATATATATATATATATATATATATATATATATATATATATATATATATATATATATATATATATATATAACTTCTCTGAGTGTAAAGGGGAACCTCTTGATCAATGTCTCCGAAGGTATCCGACCACTCCAAAACTAAGTGAATGCTATACAGAACCATCTAGATCCCAATCATTCAACAGGTCCCGTCGTTTCCTGAGCATTGCCAACTATTTTTGTCCATTCATACCTAAATGTTCGTATATCTTGCAACCATTTACTGAACTCTTGAAGAAAGTGCTGCTCCACTTCTCAGTGAACTTTGAAGCTAACTCAGCTTTCCAAGCGGCTAGGCAATCGTCGTCTAAAGATCCTCTGCTCGACTACTTAAATAATCATGACAACACCATTTTCGTATTGCGGACAGAAGCCTCCCAAGTAGCCGCTGACATCGAATTGCTACAGATTGTAATTGGTATCAGCCAGCTACTACCATTTGTCTCTCCAAAACTGCAACCGACACAGACTGGTAACAGCACCTTTGGCCGTGAACTGCTTGCAATGTACCTTGCAATAAAACACTTTCGACAAATTTTGGAAGGTAGAAGTCTTATCGTCTATACCTATCATAAACCTTTGACTTATGCATTAACTTCAATCAGCGACCGCTGTTCTTCAAGGGAAATTAGACACCCCGACCACACTTCCCGATATATCACCGACATGAGTATATATAAGGATCCAGTATTCTTGTGACTGACGCCCGCTCTCCTCTAGGTATCCATCGTCTAACCAACCCAGCAGCATTCAGCTGGTCCGAGACAGCACAACCTCAAACGAACAACTATGAACTTCAGAGCTACCGCTCATCGTCCTCCTTGATGTTGAAACACTTGCCCCTGCCTGATGGAAGTGGTGCAATTTTTTGCATTTTCTCCACTGGCAAGTCTCGCCCGCTTGTTCTGTATTCCCTTTGTTGCTTGATTTTTACGCATTTATGTCCCATATCCCATCCTGGAATACGCGCCTCCATCAGACTTGTTTCCGATCGTTATGTTTGGTCGAATATGAATAGAGACGTTCCTGTTTGGTCTAGCAAGTGAATACCCTACCAACGGAGCAAGATCTACCGGAATATACTTTCCTCCTCAGCCCTGATACTCATAGGCAATGTGCATTGTAATCACGTCTAATTGGATATTTGTAATACGAAAAAATTTCTTTCCGATATATCACTTAAGGCATTTACATATATAGTGCTGGGTAAGAGAGAGTATATGTGCAGCTAAAGAAAGCAGAGAGTGAGTGGATGTGCAACAAATCCGGTAACTCGACAACATGCATCAACTTGATGAATCTTGTTCATTGTATGAACGACAGTAAGTGTGAAATGTGTAACCAAATGGCGTGAAAAGACAGGTGTGAAAAACAAAGGTGTGAAAAAAAGATGTGAAGAAAGAGGTGTGAGGCTGGGGAGAATTCGTACTTGGGAACCATAAGAAAATCACGTGTTACGGCCACGGCAACAACAACTGTTGCAAAAGGTTACGTTGCTTACACAAATCCGGCTTCAATAGTTGAATTGCTATGGCTTCTGACGTCATCAGCAACCGCCTGCGTAATCCTTTCGTGTGAACTCTGGGAGTTGCCAGGACTGGTCTAAAAGCTGTCACCGTGTCGATTTGATGTCCGCTATCCACCAGATGTTGTAGGATTGCGCTATTGATAGTCCGAACTGTTTCTTTGCGTAAAGAAGCCGGGACGTGTTCTGATATCCTCTTCGCCAGACGTCTCGTCGTATGTCCTATATACTGTGCACTACAAGAACACGTAAACTGATATAGAACAAAAGATTGAGACTGATGAGGCAACCTGTTCTTGGATTGTTGAACAATGAAAGGCTTCGTATTTGTTAAGATTCGGACATGTGCAGCGGGGAAGGACTTCCCGAGGGTCTTAGATATGCGTAGCTCTAGTATTTCTAAGGCTTTGTCACCCTTGAACAGGACAGTTAGAAAAATATCCTTTTTCTTGACCATTTGAACTTTCATTTTGTCTCCTCTATCTCATATGTTGACGAATAAACGGTTCTGGATAGCCGTTTTTTAATAGTGTCATGTATGTGTTAGAGTTCTTGGGCAATCGTGTCAGGACTACAGATGTTTCTTGCTCTGTAGGTCAGACAGCTCACAAGGTTTCTTTTGTATCGTAGGGGGACAAAACTTAGGAAATGTGTGTATTGCCTCAGCCATGTATATTTCCGATACACCCTCCTTTCTATATGTCCGTCCTCCATTATACGCAATCCCACATCAAGAAAGGTGAGGAAATTGTCCGTCTCTACTTCCACTGTAAATGTGGTCATTGCGTGGGCGTTGCTGGATGTCCGCAGTAGTTCGGTATTGTCTTTTGTTGAGTCGCAAATTATGAAAGTGTCGTCCATGTATCTGGTGTACATGTATAGACTGTCGATGATGCTGCGTAGTGGTCCACTTTCGAGTTTTGCTAAGAATATATCCGCCAGAAGGGGTCCAAGTGGTGATCCCATTGCTACCCCGTCCTTCTACCTGTAGTATTTTCCGCTGTACAAAAATTGTATATTCCATGTACATCTAAGAATTCGTTCTTTTAGTTTGGCCACAGCAATGTCGAGTTTGATATCATTATCGGTCAAGTATTGACAGGTGAATTCTACCGTCTCGATCAACGGAATGTTTGTGAATAGGAATTCAACATCTAGAGAAATCATAGTCCGTTCAGACGGATCCTGATGTTTTATCATCTCCACAAAAGAGAACGAATCTTTCACACTATACTTCGCTAGTGACTTGCGCACAGGTTCAAAAATTTCTGCAATCCACTGAGCTGTGGCGTGATAGGCTGATGTGCTCATGTCAATCGCCGGTCTTAGGGTATATTTGGTTTGTGTAATATTGGTAGTTCATAGGTGGTTGTGAGCCACAGGGCACAAGCTTGTCGTACAGCGTTTTCTGCCTTAAGCTGCTTCAAGCTCTCTGTCAGCTTAGTCTCGGCTTCTTGTGCTTTGTCTTTCTCACCCTGATGGTAAATGAACTTGCTCTCGTCAGATAAAATAGTCATCATTTTTCTGTCGTAGACTCTTCGGTCTATTACAACCCATCCGGCACCCTTGTTCGGTTTCGATAGTAGTAAATCTTGATTATTCACTAGTTCTTGGACCGCTTCTCGATGTTACTTATTTAATATTCCGTTCAACGGAGATCTAGTAGCGTGATACTTGTAGGTACCTGTACATTTCCGATTTTTTCCATGATTTTCAACGTCCCTTGGTGCGACACTCCTTTGTTGTACCGACGTTTTAATGTAAAAACACACACCTTTTGGTCGTCACCACCGCGCAATACAAAAAGGCTGTAAATAAATCTTTCACTCTGGCTCGATCTCATCTTCTGGTTTTGAGTGTCTTGGAATCATATCGGTCGGAACTAACTGTGTGAAACAAAACATTTTAGAAGCTTCAACGGCGTCTCTTGGCACTTCGCTCAATACCATCCTGTTCTGTCCAACGGATGGCTGTCAGACCGAACTGAACTGAAGACATTGTCGGACATTGGCTCTTTGACGCTCATTTCCTGATCACAAGAACACTGAACAACTGTGAGTTTGAGTCACACCTATTGTTTCATTTTTATTCTTGATGTACATACCCTTTTGGCCTTTTTATCACCGCACGCTCCTCCGCCCGTCTTAGTTTGCTAGTGTCGCCTTAGATATTGTTGACAATAATTTAGCGTACCACATAGACAGAGTAGTACGCTACAAAATTGGTGAGCCCAGGTTGTTTTTCCATCATTTGACACTAGCTTCATTCTCTCGGTCCAAGTTTCACACCATTCACCATGTCTGACAGCGAATCTATTGACATCCACGCGGTTGCTCTGAAACTGCCAGTTTTTGCCCCTACCAACCCTCGGGTGTGGTTTCGACAGATAGAAGCCGTATTTGCCACTCGACGTATAACCAGCGAGCGCGTGAAGTACTCTCACGTTGTCCAAGCACTTCCCTTTGACATCGCTGTTGACGTGGAAGATCTCCTCGATCCCATTCCACCAGAAGCTCCTTACACGAAGCTTAAGGAAGCAGTCATTCAGCGTACCGGAAAATCAGCCGGAAAAATGCTCCGTGAACTGTTCACGTCGGTGGAGCTCGGAGACCAAACTCCGTCCCAGCTTATGCGCCACATGCGGTCGCTACTGGCTGGACGGCAAATGGACGACGCCATTTTCAGGGAGATATGGGTTGATAAACTACCTCTCCCGATGCAGCAGGTCCTGTCAATGCTGGAGCCCACTACTCCCCTTAACAAAGTTGCACAGCACGCCGACAGAATAATGGAATGCTACCCGGCTGGTAGACCCTGTGTTCACATGACATCACCCGCCGAAACCACTCCGACGCACGAATCCCCTACGACATTACCAGTTCCTGCCCCAGATCGCCGTGGCGACGTCTCTCGCAGTCCTGATTCCCCATCCCATCACTCGCATATCGATAAGGACATTACGGACCTAAAAGAAACCGTTCGCATGTTGTGCAATCAGGTCAGTGCAATGTGCAGCGCATTTACTACTCATCGATCTGTGTCCACCGAAGTACCTCATCGACCTAGATCACGGTCCAGAAACCGCCGATCACAAACGTGGTGTTGGTACCACCGCACTTTCGGCTCCAAGGCACGCCGCTGCGATCCTCCATGTTCATTCCGCACTTACACTCCACAGTCAAACGACCAGGCCAGCCAGTAACGGCGACGACTAGGGCTGGCCCTCCACATGAAAGTCGCCTATTTTATA